AATAATAATAATAATAATAATAATAATAATAATAATAATAATAATAATAATAATAATAAAAAAAAAAAGTTGGAAGGGACCTTGGAGGTCGTCTAGTCCAACCTCCTGCTCAGGCAGGAAACCTTGTATCATTTCGGTTCTCTATGTGGATTCTACTTCCAGAAGTCCATTCTGAGCCTGGGCAACAAAAAATTAGCTTCCGGTTCTGCCGAAGTGATGCAAACCGGCTGAATCCCACCACTGGATGGATGGATGGATAGATGGTGATAGATAGATAGATAAATAGAATATAGGGATGAGAGATAGATAGATAGATAGATGGATGGATGGATGGATGGATGGATGGATGGATGGATGGATGGATGGATGGATGGATGGTGATAGATAGGATGTGCTCAAAGGGGCTTCCTGGAATATGGGAGGGACAGTGGTTCTAGGTGGTCAGGAAAGTTTATCGGATGATTAGGAAAGGGGTGTTGAGTGCGATGAAGGAGGGGGGAATCTGTATTGGGGGTAGGATATAAAAATGTAATAATAATAATATTGTTGGAAGGGACCTTGGAGGTCATCTAGTCCAACCCCCTGCTCAGGCAGGAAACCCTATACCATTTCAGACAAATGGCTGTCCAGTCTCTTCTTAAAAACTTCCAGTGTTGGAGCATTCACCGCTTCTGGAGGCAGGTAGTTCCACTGGTTAATTGTTCTCCCTGTCAGGAAGTTTCTCCTTAGTTCTAGGTTGCTTCTCTCCTTGATGAGTTTCCATCCGTTGCTTCTTGTCCTGCCTTCAGGCACTTTGGAGAATAGCTTGACTCCCTCTTCTTTGGGGCAGCCCCTGAGATACTGGAAGACTGCTATCATGTCCCCCCTCGTCCTTCTCTTCATTAAACTAGACAGACCCAATTCCAGCAGCCGTTCCTTGTATGTTTTAGCCTCCAGTCCCCTCATCATCTTTGTTGCTCTTCTCTGCACTCTTTCTAGAGTCTCAGCGTCTTTTTTACATCGTGGTGACCAAAACTGGATGCCGCATTCCAAGTGTGGCCTTACCAAGGCCTTGTAAAGTGGTATTAACACTTCTCTTCGTTAAAGTAGACATACCCAATTCCAGCAACAGCTCTTTAAGGTGTGGCTGAACTCCTACGTGTTTCAGCTCACCAAGCCATTGCAAATGCTTCTTTTTAAATAAAACTTTGTTGGAATTCCAAGTGAGTTTGTTTGTTTTGGGATCTTGAGCCACGTTCCAAACAATTAGATAGATAGATAGATAGATAGATAGATAGATAGATAGATAGATAGATAGATAGATAGATAGATAGATAGATAGATGATAGATAGATAGATAGATGATAGATAGATAGATAGATAGATAGATAGATAGATAGATAGATAGATAGATAGATAGATAGATAGATGGATAGATAGATAGATAGATGGATGAATTGGAAGAATGACAGGCACCTCCCTATTTTACAATCACAGAGCAAGGGGAGGGTTAATGGCCATGGGAACGTAGGCAAAGGAAGTGAGGAGGAGTTGGTCATGATGAACACAATGATTGACCGACCGGGACCTATCACAAGGTCTAGGAGTCGGGCGCAGGCATTGGCTGGTGTATAAATGCTTTCTCCCATTGAATTATTTATGCCCTGATGATGTTGGTAGGAACCAACGAAAGCTAGGTCTCTTTTATAATCTTTTAAAATTTTTAATGTTTTATTAAAACTTTTAATGATTTTAAATTTCCCTGGTGTTCACTTTTTGTTATTTATTAGGATAGATAGATAGATAGATGATAGATGATAGATAGATAGATAGATAGATAGATAGATAGATAGATAGATAGATAGATAGATAGATAGATAGATAGATAGATAGATAGATAGAGATAGATAGATAGATAGATAGATAGATATTGGGATTTAAATATGAGAACAACCGGTTCTCTGTGTGGATGTCGCTTCCGGAAGTCCGTTCTGGGTCTGGGCAACAAAAAATTAGCTACCGGTTCTGCCGAAGTGGTGCGAACCGGCTGAATCCCACCACTGATTATGTGTCCGAATTTTGATCAGGTGACCATGGGGATGCTGCAACGGTTGCTAATGTGAAAAACAGTCATAAGTCACTTTTTTCAGTGCGTCGTAACTTCGAACGGTCACTAAGTGGACAACTATCTCTAGGGCAGGGGTAGGCAACCTTGGCTCTTTTATGACTCATGGACTTCAACTCCCAGAATTCCTGACCCAGCCACGCTGAGGGGAAAGGGAGAGGTTTCCAAGCTGAGCCATGCTGGCTCAGGAATTCTGGGAGTTGAAGTCCATGAGTCATGAGGGGGCCATAGTTCCCCCATGCTGGCTCAGGAATTCTGGGAGTTGAAGTCCATGAGTCATAAAAGAGCCAAGGTTGCCTACCCCTGCTCTAGTGGATCCGAACTACAGCAGAGAATCGAGTCTATAGTTCTATCTCTATGATCCTGGAGATGCATCCCTGAAGCTTCCGCTGCGCATCCCTCTACCCTTTTCTATCTTCTCTAGGAAAATTCCTCCATCTCCACCCGGCTTTATCAATCACCGATGGGCGGGCCGACGCATGCGCCTGGGGAAGGTAGGCCCGCCTGCTTACGCCTCCGCAGCGTGTTCCCGCCAAGGCGATTGGTGGCGGCGGCGGTCACGTAGGCGGAAGGCGGGACCGTGTGCGTGGAAGAGGGGGAAAAGGAAGACACGGAGTCCGGCAGGCCGCCGGGATGAGCCTCTGCGGTGGTCGGAGACCATGACCCAGCCGAGGCCGCCACGGCTGCATCACAACGCGGAGCGAGGTACGTAGGCCGGCGCCTCGGGGTGGAGCAGGGCCGCCCGCCGCTCGGCCACCTCAGGGGACGCGAGGCCTTCGCTGAGGTAAAAACTTGATGCTGTGAGGGAAGCGAGGGGGCGTGGCCAGGCCGAGGCCCCGCCCCGCTTCTCCTCTGACGGGGCTGCGGGAGCCAATCAGAAGAGGCGGCTCCACCAAGAGGCGGGCAATGAGGGCCTGGTTTGACCCCCCCCTTCCCTTTAGCCTCCTTTTAGCAGGCAAACAAACAGGCGGAAATTCAACCGGGCAAGCCTCCCGCCTGTTAAAAAGTCCCGCTCCCCTGTACGAGCCGATGGAAAGGCTCCAGTTCTTCCCCAATCTAATCTCCATCCTGTTCTTGAAGGCCTCCTGCGGTTTCCCACCTTGCAGGGTTGTTGTTATGGGTAAAACAGGAGGAAGGAGTAATAATAATAATAATAATAATAATAATAATAATAATAATAATAATAATAATAATAATAATAATAATAATAATAATAATAATAAAGTTGGAAGGGACCTTGGAGGTCATCTAGTCCAACCCCCTGCTTAGGGAGGAGACCCTATACCATTTCAGACCAATGGCTGTCCAGTTTCTTCTTAAAGACTTCCAGTGTTGGAGTGTTCACAGCTTCTGGAGGCAGGTAGTTCCACTGGTTAATTGTTCTCACTGTCAGGAAGTTTCTCCTTAGTTCCAGGTCGCTTCTCTCCATGATGATGATGATGATGATAAAGTTGGAAGGAACCTTGGAGGTCATCTAGTCCAACCCCCTGCTCAGGCAGGAAACCCTATACCATTTCAGACAAATGGCTGTCCAGTCTCTTCTTTAAAACTTCCAGTGTTGGAGTGTTCACAGCTTCTGGAGGCAGGTAGTTCCACTGGTTAATTGTTCTCACTGTCAGGAAGTTCCTCCTTATATTTTAGGTTGCTTCTCTCCTTGGTTAGTTTCCATCCGTTGCTTCTTGTCCTGCCTTCAGGGGCTTTGGAGAAGAGCTTGACTCCCTCTTCTTTGGGGCAACCCCTGAGATACTGGAAGGCTGCTATCATGTCCCCCCTCGTCCTTCTTTTCATTAAATTAGACAT